GAACTACAAAAAAATAATACAATAAAATTGACTCAGGAGGACACCTAACCTCCATATGTTCCTGCTGCTGCTGCACAGCAGAGCAATAATACCACGCAATCGCATTCGTAAAAAAACTTACATTTTTTAATTTTAATTTAGTTTTATTAATAAAATAAAAACAAAAATAATGAGCCGTCATTAGGTGTAAAAACTAGAAATGTTTTTTTTTTAGCGGGTCGACCTTTATGTGTTTGTATATATTGGTACCTCTGTGCAGCGGTATACGCGTATTCAAGCATTGTTTCCGCTGAGTAATTGAAATATAATATTTATTTTTTCACATAATTCGTCACGACATTAATTTTTTATCTTTTTTATTTACATTTCACATTGTTTTTTTTATATGTATATAATAAATAAATCCCGTACAAAATTCAATACAATAACTGTCAAGTGTAGTTTTGTTAATAGGGATTGATCAGTTTCTCGCGTGGCCCACCTGTCAAATCGCTGTCGTCGACTTGTTCGACGGATTTGTACTGGGTGATTATTCACGTTGAAATATAGCGATATTCGCCTAAGCAGCGGAGATGTACCAAGTGTACACGAGTGTGGTAGTATTGCTTTAAACGAAGTATTTAAAAAAATGTTTTAGTAGGAAAAAACTTTAATTCCATCTTTCAAGTTAATACAAATTAGGGAAAATATTCACCCGTATTTAAAATCAAATAAAAAACCTCTATCGAGGTGAAGAACGAGTGACGAAACCTAAATTTGAAACACAAAAATTCTGATATCAATTTTGTGACGAAGATAGTTGGTAGATATTTTTTCTGTGTACTGTGAATACTGTGAATATAAACTTAATATACATTTGTATATTCAAAACGTTGCAGAAATTCCTCCCTTTTTACTTTGAGTTCATACTGACGTAATGAAGCAACGTTCCGAATTTACAAATATATATTAAGTTTATATTCACAGTACACAGAAAATATATCTTCCAACTATTTTCGTCACAAAATCTATATCAGAAATTTTGTGTTTCAAAATTAGGTTTCGTCACTCGTTCTTCACCTAGATAGAGGTTTTTTTTTTTTTTGATATCAATAGTTTTGCAAGCGCTATTTTCCATGTTAAAGATTCAAGACACATGAAATTGAATCATTTTCAAATACAATGAAAATATGGATTTTTAGGTTATTTTTGGATTATTTTTTGGCCACATTTTCACTATCGAAGGCCATATCCTGAAACCAAGAATTTTTACTTTTCCGCACACATAGTGTAAGGTGGAAAGTATTGTAATCGGTCAAAATTTTGAAAACTTCAGAAACATGTTTTCTGGACGTTTCTGAGGTCAGAGAATTCGAATCAGGCCGTTTTGAGCATGGTTTTTGTTAATCTGTACGTCGTACGTTGTACGTCGTACGCAAAATTTGTTAACAAGATTGCGCTCATCTTAGAATCTTAATTCAAAATCTGACTTTACATGATGATTGGGGGTCGCGAGGAATAGAAATCATTAGATTTTGAGCGACTTTAGTTGATGGAAAAAAATTCATGCCTGGAGTGATACCTATGAAAAAGAGTCCAATTTTCGTCCAGAAGTCATACTTAATGTAGACTTAAACCCTCAAAAATATGTAGTGGGGTTTTTTTTGGCACGAGGTTAGTTTTGAGATACAATCAATTTTTGATACAGTTTCCTTGAAAAAATCACAAAAAATTAAATTGCCATACAGCCATGCCTGTATGCTACCTTAATGACGCGAAACTTTGCATAGACTATTTTTTACACAAAAAAATAACATTCTAAAAGTTTGAAGATATTTCAATTAAAATTATGGGTACCTCCCATACAAAATTTTTATATATTTTGTATGGGAGGAACCCTTAATTTTGGTTGAAATTTCTCCAAACCCTCCGAATGTTATTTTTTTGTGAAAAGAATAACCTGTGCAAAGTTCAACGCCATTAGGTAAAATACAGACATGGCTCCCATACAAAAATCCAAATTTTTTGTGACTTTCGTCTTTCAGAAATGAACGCTCTAAAATAAAAACAACTTATTGTTTACTCGCATATCGAAACGCGACTCAAAACGATTGCATATCAAAGCGAGACAATATTTCCTTACCATAGGAATAAAGAACATTGACTTTTTATTATACAAAATGTGTAAATTTCATTTTGTGCTGATAACTAGCTACTGTTCTGCCTTGTTTTAGTAACAGAATTTTGTTTCGCTTTGATATGCGACGCAGTTTAACGATATAAATATTTCACACTCTCGAAGGCTCGGTATAGAACACACAAAAAGTGAAAAAAAAAAAACTTTTTATTCTCAAATTTCATAAACAATCAAATGAACCGTTGAGAAACATAGATACCTTCAGTAAAGTTAACCATAAAACTGCAACATGTCCATACAAAAAATGTATGGACATGTTGCAGTTTTATGGTTAGCTTTACTGAAGGTATCTATGTTTCTCAACGGTTCAAATGGATTGTATCAGCAATTTTTATTGCGCAGTTGTGTGTGAATAGAATGTCCGTTGTAAACATTCATACATACAAGGAGGAGCGAGATAGCATTGGACAACGATTTTGGTGACAAAGATGACACATTTTTATGTTCTGATCACATCACATGATATAGACCATTTTGTGGTGTTCGAGAATTGAGAAAAAAAAGAGTAAACAATAAGTTGTTTTTATTCTAGAGCGTTCAAATAATTTTTATGGCAAAATTAACGTCAGACATATTTTTTATAGTGTTTTGTTAGAAAATAGAATTTTCAAATGTCGTACAAATGAGTTCATCATGAAAGTGTGAAAAATCTTTTGCGACTACTTCTGCTATTAAATTGAAGAATATTTTGTTGCCAAAGTTGGAACATATTTTTTTGGTCTCGAACTTTACGCCGCTTGAATGGCTTGAAAAATCGAACAAATGTTATTTTGAACTTTCTTAATAAAATACGCAACTACCACCGTGCGGAAAAGTTCGTCTTACTCCCGTAAGACTCTTTATCCTGGATATGATCTATAAGGTATTTTATAGCTTGGACTAAGTCTTAAAATCAGTGAAATTTTCAAAAAAAAAATATTGAACCATTTCCGAGAAAATGTCCGTTATGTTTCCGGCCAGAAGGTCAATTTTTGCACTATCGAAGGCGATATCTTGAAAACAAGAATTCTGGTTTTCGAGGTAATAGCCGTTATGACTTTTGGAGGCCGGTTACGGTCAATATGGCGGCTAAATCGAAAAGTGGCGGAACAAAAAAGTCTTAGTTTTTTTTGTACTTTAATCACAGAAAGTTTCAGAAAGGTACGCAAAAAAAGTGCACACACAGACACACATATAAATGACTTTTATAGGAAAATCATATGAAATTTTTAAAATGCGGAATTTTTCGAATGGATTGATCGATTTTGACGGTTAGGGTGTCGTTGGAAAGGTATTGAGCTCTAGAATCAAAATATCGATGTTTTAGAGATCAATGACCTCATATAGTGCCATCTATGGCCGTAGAATTGAATTTTGACCCTTTTCTTGAAAGGACTGTATTTTGAAGACAGGTGGACCGATTTCCGAACTTTGGTATTTTTTCTTGATCTATGGCCCAAGGCCTTTCCAACCATACATCAATCGAGACCAAAGGTCTTCTAAGTCTGAGTTTCGTATATTTCTTGTATATATAGCGAATTCGATTTTTCAATTTCGTCCGCTGTGATAGAATAAAAAACCCTATCGAATGGCAAAACCTAAAATCAAGACATACACTTCTGATATCCATTAATTTAAATCAAAAATAGTTGGTTATGAATAAATACAATGAATTTTAACAAAACTGTGACCACACACTGTGCTGGTAACGGACAATTTTTATTAGAAAATATACATTTAATATAAACTGTTTTTAGCTGATAATTTAACTTTAAATTTGTATATCAATCACATCGATGACTTCCAAAATAGAAATGTGTAACAGACATCACTAGCTAAAAGAATGCATAATTTCGCTGGAAAAATGTTATTAAACCATCGCAAATAAGATTTTGAAAACATTATTTTGTAAAAATTGAAGTAAAAAAAAAAAACATTTTTTAGTTGATGTCTAAATTTATGTTATTCTGTAGCTTTCATAGTGCTTTCCGTTAATTAGATACAAGAAATTGAATACTCAGAAAAAAAGTCGTAAATTTTTGTAGGTATACAGTGAATCTAATTTTTTTGATAGACAAAATAACAAGCAAAGTAAACAGAGAAACTCTCCACTAACATAGGATTCATATACGAATGGCGTGTGAGTGGAGTGTGTCATGCAAAATTTTGTCTACCAAAAATATTAGATTCACTGTACAATCAAAATAAGTCTAATTTTCGATTTTTAACTTTCAATTCGTTGCGCCAGCTTGATTTGAACATTCAGGAACGTTCAATTCCCAATCACATACTGATTGAGATGGATTAAATACTAAGTTTGCTGGACATGGCATGTGGTGTTTGCGTTCTCCTTCACACATATAGTAATGCGTACAATCTGCTTTATCCGGATGATAGCTAATATGACCGTCTTCTTCTTCACATGTTACTTCATTTGCTGAAAAATGATTGAGAATGAATATTACGACACATATGTGTTTTTTTTTACTCACGATTCTGTGTAGTGTACGCTCCTCGTGGTCCGTGTGTTTCGTAAGGACCATCATACTGCAAATTCACTTTGTAAGATTTGATTTCTTCATTAAGAGCTTTTAATAAAGGATATTTGCCATTGCCACACTTTCCCGAAAAGTCATCCATGTCGATAGACCACACCATTATTCCTCCGAATCCATTTTCTTTCAACCAACTCATCTTTTTATAACAAATATCATAGTTATTAACATTTATTGTATTTTAACATGAAAATAGGTACCTTGGTTTTAAGTGATCGCTCGTCATCAAACCCTATCCATTGGTCATCGCGGTAAGCAAAAGGTACCTGCTGTTCTGAATCCCAAACAAGTGTTGTGTTTGGTTGAGATAAAAAAGAACATATTTCGTAATAACTCATAAACCCAGCTTCATTAGTGAATTTTCCGGCTTGACCACCACCAGAAGCAGCTGCACCGATATCAAACTGGGTGTTATTCACTAACGTGAAGGAACGTCCATATGTAGGCATGCCAATGAGTAATTTTTCGGCGGGAGCTCCTTGTCTCAACCATTCTCGAGCACTAAAATCGACTGTAAGTTTTTTTTGATAACCTGTTGCGGACTCTAATGCAAGTAAAGGTGAATTGTGCCCAACTTGTCTTTCCCATTGTCCATGAAAATCATAGGTCATAACATTTATAAAATCCAAATATTTAGAAATTTCAGGGACATCATAACCAGCAGCAATCGCTTCAAATGATGCTGGTACTGCTGCAGTTAATAAAAGTCGAGGTAAATTTGATGATTTTGCTTCACCTTCAAATGCAATACGTAATTCACGCAATAAGTTCACGTAAGCAACCTTATCATCTGAGCCTCGCGGATACTCCCAATCGACATCTAAGCCATTGAACTTGTATTCACGCAAAAATTCGATTGCTTCATACACAAATTGATTCATTCGATAAACGTTCGATGTGAGTTCTTTGAATGGAGTTGAACCAAATGCCCAACCACCTATTGCTAATAAAATCTATAAATGAAAATGTTTAAATCTACAATAATGAAAATAAAATTAATATAAGGATAAACAACCTGCAAATCTGGATTTTTTTCCCTTAATTCGATCAATTTATCATAATTCTCCGGATCCTCGTCATTTGCTTCAGTTAATATATGATCCTTCAAAGTGGCAAATGCATATACAATATGTGTACATAGTGAAGCATCGATATTTTTGGGTTCGAATTTACCAATCCCAGGACGCTTAGATGACCAACTGGTTAAATAACAGAAAACTTGAGCTGGACGTGCTATTAGAAATAGTTAAATTCTTATTATTATTATATTATTCAATATTGAAAACATAATAATAAATGTTGAACATTTACAGTTTTTATCTACGACTGTAAGGCCATTCTTTACTTTCAATTTTCCTTGCTTCTTTACTAATGGTACCAATTCGTCAACTGAGATCGAAATTGGCTGTGGCCTATCACCAATCTAGAAAAAATAGAAATTTTATTATAATATATTATTATAAGTGAAAAACACTTCTTTGGAAGTTCTCACTGTGACGTAATACTGCACATCAGATCTGAAAATGATCTGATATAAATTTTCAGTGACGCTTGCAATCAAATACACAAACAATTTTACTTTTCCGCACACCTAGTGTAGGGAATTCCGCACACCTAGTGTAGGGAAGGTATTGTATTAGGCCAAAAAATTAAAGTCATCCCAAAACATGTTTTCTATGCATATTTAATGTAGAAAACACGATTGGAGATGATTTTGGGGCATATTAATGTGCGTCGCTGTGTGTGATGTGTCCTGTGTCGATAAATCTTTTTCCAAAAACTCAATTCAAATTCTGACTTTGCAGGATGATTTGGGACTACTAGGAGACGTGCTGATTAGTTTTTGAGCAATATCTGTTGACCGGTGTAATTTTTTTGGGTCCGAATGGACACAATCCATACATTTTACTTTTTTGATCATTTTTCAACCATTTTGGTGACACGATGGTTTCGTACTCAGACATGAAATTCAAAATCTGACTTTACGGGATGATTGGGCGTTACGAGGAAAAGATCTGGTCAAATTTTCAACGACATTGATTGATCGATGTAAAACTTAGACTGTGAAGAGGCACTTATGAGAAAAATGCCTTAAAATGATATTCTTTCAATTTGAACGCTGAAAGACTGTGTAGTGGGGGTTTTTTGGCACGAGAAACCCGAATCTGATGTTAGTTTTAAGATGCAATCAATTTTTCACAGACTTTTCATACAAAAATCGAAAAAAAAATTCATTTTTGTATGAAAGACTTGACTTTGTGGTACTGTAATGATGTGAAACTTAGAACAGGCTATTTTTTGGATTGAAATTTCTTTAGACTTAGTATGATTATTTATTTTGATAAGAAAATATTATTCACAAGTTACTGCAACCATACATAGACCATCATTTCTGTTTATTCCCAAAATTTCGGTTCCATGCGGAAAAGTCAGCTTGCGTACGTAAGCCTCTTTATTTATATTGCGTTGCCCCTCTTCTAGGGGTAGACACAATAGAGAATGAATGAATACCAATGAATTGTCATAATACCTATCCATACATAATTTTTTCCATTTCGTTTTAACATTCACCATTTCGAAATTTATTTTAATTTTTTCTGTTTTCTTTCTGTTATTTTTATCAAAATTGTTTTTGCATTTATTAAACCAATTGAAAAAATACACTTCATAGCGTTGAAAAAGTTTTTTTTAATATTTGGAAGATAATGAATTATAATGAACAATTTTTTTTTTTTTTCTTCGCTCTCTATTTGGATACTTTAATTTTGCTTAATTTTAATCGAAATCACATTAAAAAAAACAGGAAAAATTATTGAAAGAATTATTATTGAATTGTGTACAAGAAAAACATCAAGTTTAAGTGATTTGAAGTAAATTAAAGAAAAGAAGAGGAAGAAAACGAACGAAAAAGTGTCTCATCATTGTTGTTAGTGTAATTGACGGTACAACATGAGTAAATTGCATTGCTGTGTTGAAAATGGTTGTGACGGATTGCGCTATTCTGGTCTGCATTTGAACTGCATGATTTGTGAAAAAAAGATATATGTGGCATGCATGAGATTATGGGATGATGTTGTGAGGAGTTTCTTGATAAAATTTGGACTTCTACAATTGACGGATCCAGCTAAAAATGCATTTTCATATGTTGGCGACAAACGTGTTGAAGATGAATTCAAAAAACTCTTCAGTGCTGAATCGCCTTTCGCAGTTACATGTTTTACATGCTGGTCTCGGAAGCAATTTGACAACGAAAAAAAAACAAACATCGAACAAATCGTGACCAATAAATTTGAAGATCTGAAAAAACAATTGCTTGCTGATTTCAACAAATGTCAACCAGAGCCTAAAACATATGTAGACACAAAAAACAAAAAATTGGTCGATTCAATGTGTCAGACTGAGGGTCGTCGCGCAATGAAAAATAAAAAAAAGAAGATAAGAAAACAGCAACAACAAGAACAAAATCAACAGCAAAGTGACGGAAAAGGGAGCGATGCAGGTACAGGTGCTGATATTGGTGCAAATGATATAAGAGATGCAAGTACCTACACATCTCCCAAAAAACAACAGCAACCACATCAACAAAGGCAACAACAACAAAAACAGCAGCAACAAAGAAATCGGCAGCAAAATCGACAGGAACCGAGAAATGATCATGCACACACATACAGCTATCCATTCAGCCGTTCATTTCAAAGAAAAAATTGGGTAACTGACCGTCGACGAAGCCATTGGAATGACGGTTTCAATAACCAACGTCATTTTAAGGATGATTTGCCGAGAGCTAGTCCGCATTTTGATGATTGTGATTGCCGCTCTTGTTTTATTGAATTCGAAAATGGTTTTAAGGATTTTCAACGTGTTCGGAGGGGACTTCGGCCGCCGGCTCAACGCTGGCAATCCAGAAACCACTATTAGATGCCACAACAAACTCAGCTATTAATTTTTCATCGATGGAAATGGAGAGTGGTCACTCAGGTAATTTAAATAATTACTGTATATGTTCTCCAAAGGGAGAAATGAGTACTACACACAATTTTAATGATGAAAAATATTCAAAACAGCTGGTTATCCATTCACAAAATGTAAATGGATTAAAAACAAAAATTCCGGAGTTTGTGGCTGAAATTCTAGTGCACCATTCGCAAATTTACATGCTGCGAGAGACTCATCTGAATGACGCCATCAATTCGAATGACTTGTTTCCACAGATGTACGATGTATATCGTTGTGATCGGTCACCAAACACTGAGAGGGACCAAGTTCATCGCAAGGAGAATGGAGGTGGAGTTTTGATCGCTGTTAACAACAAGCTGAAGTCGGTTTGCATTGGGACGGGTGACCTGTTCGGTGCGGAACAGATTTGGGTAAAAGTATCTGGACTAAAACGAAATATCATTTTGGTAGAATTATATATTCGGCCAGACTCAACACTCAAGGTATATGAAAATAACATGAATGCATTGAGAGTAATTACATCGAAGTTAAGTATAAATGATGTTTTAGTAGTTTCCGGTGATTTTAATTTGCCCAAATTGATTTGGTTTGTTGACGATAATGAGGACCCGGACATAGCAATTGCTATCAATGCGGCCAGTGAAAAAGAGAAGATAGTGCTGGATACTTGCTACGATCTTGGTCTTCTTCAGATAAACAAATGCTACAACCAAAATGGTCGTATGCTTGATTTGATCTGGACAAATGATGTTGAGCTGTTTCAATGCACAATGAGTGACTTTCATTTATTGAATTTTGAGAAGCACCACAATGCAATCGAAATCAAATATAATGAGCCTGTCATCAAAACAGTTGAAACTAAGCAAACATATAGAGATTACATAAATGCTGACTATAAACAAATAAATGAGTCACTTCTAGATGTAAACTGGATTAAGGAATTCGATACAAATTCATTAGAAATAAAACTAAACAATTTCTATACAATTATAAAGTCAACAATCGAAAATCATGTCCAGTTAAAAACAAAAATCATCAGGAAGCAACCGATATGGTTTAATAGGCCACTAATCGAGTTGAAAAACAAAGTCAGCAAAGCTCATCGGATTAAAAATATGGTCAAAACAATTGAATCAGTAGAAGATTTTAAACAATTAAGAAGAGAATATAAACGCAGTGCACGGTCAGCACTCAATGATTACAGAATTGAGATGGAGAATCTGATAGACAATGATCCAAAGAAATTTTTCAGACATGTGAATTACAAAAAAGGGAAAAGTGATGATCTGCCTCATGAAATGTCTTATCTGGATATGAGGGCAGAAGACCAGTCTACGATCGCTGGTTTCTTTGCAAAGCATTTTGCTTCAGCCTACAGCTCTTTGAAGGGAAATCTACAATTGGATAGCTCGGAGTTTGAAAATATTAGCAACATTTGTGCTGAAATATCACCGATTGAAATAACTGAAGAGCTTGTTGGACAACAAATTGACATGCTTCCGGATGATCTAGTCAGTGGTCCCGATGAAATACCAAATAAATTTATCAAGCATTGTTTGGTTTCATTGCGGGGGCCAATCACAACATTGTTAAGAGAATCTCTTGAAACATACACTGTACCACAGATTTGGAGAACGTCTTTTGTCAGACCGGTTTACAAAAACGGTGACAGAAACAACGTTCAAAATTACCGTGGTGTCGCTCTTCAGTGTATAGTGTCAAAAATTCTAGATTCGATCGTCACGAACCATCTCAATCAATATCTAAAGAACATAGTACACGAAAGTCAGCATGGGTTCATCAAAAATAGGTCAACGATAACGAACTTGGCAGAATTTACATCGAATACGATAATCAACATGGGAAAGGGACATCAAACAGACACCATATATTTGGACATCGCAAAGGCTTTTGATTCTGTGAATATCAAATTACTAATTCAAAAGCTAAACATCATGGGATTGAATACACAGCTGTTAAAATGGATCGAATCGTATTTGTCTGGACGCAGACAAATAGTCAAGATAGCAGATACCAAATCTGACCCAATTGAAGTAACTTCTGGTACTGGTCAAGGTTATCCCATTGGCGCAACTTTGTTCATCATGTTTGTGATAGATCTACCTTTCGTCGTGACCAAATCTTGCATCCTTTCATTCGCTGATGATACCAAGATTTCAAAATGTATAAAATCAGAAGATGACTGCATTCATCTTCAAGAGGATTTGGATCGTGTGGCAAATTACTATGAGCGCAATTTATTAAAGTTGAACGTTAACAAAACAAAAATAATATCATATCATCGTGGATCACTGAAATATGAATATAATTACAACATAGATGGCGTGCAAATTGAAAGAGTAGAGGTAATAAAGGACTTGGGAGTATTGCTTGATGTGAAGATGAATTTCAAATCACACATCGAGCATGTTGTTGCAAAGGCAAAATCAAGATTGGCTTGGTTAAAATTCAACAGCAGGGATTTTGTCGACCCATGGACTTTAAAACGCCTTTACTTTACATTTATATTACCGATTATTGAGTATGGATCTGAAATATGGAATCCACACTACGACAATATGTGCAAAAGAATAGAGTCAATACAAAAACAATTTTTAATATATGCTCTGAGGAGAATGGCCTGGAACGATTTTAGACTGCCAAAATACGAACACAGGCTACTATTTCTGCAAATGATTACTCTTGAGGAGAGACGCAAGATGGCGCAAGTGTCTTTTATTTTCAAAATTATTCACGGAGATTTAAAGTCAACTTATGTTTCAAACAGTATGAAATATTACGATCCAGCACATGATACCAGAGCAACACCACTATTTGATCTACCAATTAGGAGAACTGATTACACAAAATATGAGCCAATAAATTATATGCTTACAACATTCAACGAATTTTATACCAAAAAATTGCAAAACAGTGATAAAAATTTAATTGATTTAGAAGTAAATTTATCAACAGTAAAACTGAGAATAGAGAATTATTTAAAGCAAAGCAGATAAATACAAAAATTTGTTATGGATTATAGAAATTTTAAGCAGATGAAAAATTAATTTATGAAATTTATATTATTTACATGAGAGGAGCAATAATTTTACATTTTCTCTCTCAAAAATGCTTGATAAAAATCAAATTGTATTATATTATATATATTTAATTAAATTATTTTCAATAAACCACCAAGGCGAAGGAACGCTGTTCGGTGCAGTTATTATTATTAATATTCATTAATGCACATTGTGAGACGTTGCTGAATGCATTGACATTTCGTCTAAGACTGAGAATACCATCAATTTCGGTGAATATCTCAAGTAATATTCCATGAGTCTACCCCCTAGCCCCTTTCATTTTTAGAAAAATAAAAATGAAAATTTCATTGTGATAATGCCCAAGAGGCAACGAACTATAAAAATTATTTGTGTATTTGGTTACAAGCGTCACTGAAAATTTATATCATATTCAGATTTGATGTGCAGTATTGCGTCACAGTGAGAACTTCCAAAGAAGTGTTTTGTACTTATATCATTTGTTTTAACATTAAATTTAATTTTTCTGTTTGTATTCTACAAATTTTTTTCAAAATTTATTATATTCTTTTATTGTATTCATATTCATCACATTGCAAATCAAAAATATTTATATTAATCGATTTCTTGCAATGCACGCCAATTTTTTTTGTTTTCTGCATAATTTTATCATTTTTTTTGCATTTTTAATTGTTTTGTAAAATAAAAGGAGAAATTTCTACCAATGTTTTAATTCATTTTCTTCAACACCATTTTTAGAATTTGTACCACTCAATCCACCGAGTACAAATTGCTCAAACACTAAAAAATCACAAAAAACGTGATTTTTGTATGGAAATTTTTTTATAGCGGGATTTTTTTGGGAAAATTTTTGCACAGCGATTTAGTACTCAATTTGTACCGACAGAAAATATATACTTTTGTACACTTTGGTCCCATAGGTTCGGAGTACAAATTGCTCAAACACGAAAAAATCACAAAAAACGTAGTTTTTGCATGGGAATTTTTTTTAAACGGGATTTTTTTTGGGAAATTTTTTCACAGCGATTTACTACTCAATTTGTACCGACAGAAAACATATACTTTCGTACACTTTTGTCTCGCAGGTTCCGAGTACAAATTGCTCAAACACAGAAAAATCATGAAAAACGTAGTTTTTGTATGGGAATTTTTTTTAAACGGGATTTTTTTGGGAAATTTTTTCTACAGCGATTTGGTACTCAATTTGTACCGACAGAAAATATGTACTTTTGTACACTTTGGTCCCATAGGGTCGGATCACAAATTGTCCTAACACGTAAAAATCACAAAAAAGTGATATTTTTTTTTGTATGGGATTTTTTTATATGGACTTTTTTTGGAAAATTTTAATGCTGGAAAAAATATTTTTCAATTTTTTATGTGCCGATTGGTAAAACTTATTCAACTAATAGTTTCTTTTGAAAAATATGCCTCAGAGATGTCAAAAATGGTAAATTTAATTCGTTGTTGGTTGATTTTACATTAAATCTACCAATATTGAATTAAAAATACCATATTTTTTCTCTCTGTGTAGATAGCTTGTACGTATAAGCTATTTTATCTGTTCGTATGCTTATGATATTTGCCTGTTCTGATAACTACAAGTTTTGAGCCGTATAGATAAGCTTAAGAGGAATTCCTCTTATTCTACGGGCAGTGGTGACCCCATGAGTGTACTTTGCCTTATCTGCTAAGTCATAACATGACTTTCATGGCCTCTAATGTTTGAGTGTGCTTTAATCC